CTATGTTTATCAATCTTCAAGTGATTATTCAGAAATGGAAATAAACTACATATCTTAAATTTTGATCCAATTTATGAACGACATTATGTATGACAAATAATCAAATTTATGTGAATGTATATGAACTTCTGTGCATTTATATCGAAATGTCCTGGAACTGCATGGTTAATCAAATAATCGAAACCTATCGAGAATGCGTGCCTATTTTTAAAATTTTTAATTATCATTCGGAAGTGCATCTTATATATAGCCGATTCAACCTATATATAAGACAATGTTGCTGTTAATTAATCATTACTATGTTTATCAATTTTCAAGTGATTATTCAGAAATGGAAATAAACTACATATCTTAAATTTTGATCCAATTTGTGACAGACGACATTATGTATGACAAATAATCAAATTTATGTGAATGTATAATATGAACTTCTGTGCATTTATATTGAAATGTCCTGGAACTGCATGGTTAATCAAATAATCGAAACCTATCGAGAATGCGTGCCTATTTTTAAAATTTTTAATTATCATTCGGAAGTGCATCTTATATATAGCCGATTCAACCTATATATAAGACAATGTTGCTGTTAATTAATCATTACTATGTTTATCAATTTTCAAGTGATTATTCAGAAATGGAAATAAACTACATATCTTAAATTTTGATCCAATTTGTGAAAGACGACATTATGTATGACAAATAATCAAATTTATGTGAATGTATAATATGAACTTCTGTGCATTTATATCGAAATGTACTGCAACTGCATGGTTAATCAAATAATCGAAACCTATCGAGAATGCGTGCCTATTTTTAAAATTTTTAATTATCATTTGCAAGTGCATCTTATATATAGCCGATTCAACCTATATATAAGACAATGTTGCTGTTAATTAATCATTACTATGTTTATCAATTTTCAAGTGATTATTCAGAAATGGAAATAAACTACATATCTTAAATTTTGATCCAATTTGTGAAAGACGACATTATGTATGACAAATAATCAAATTTATGTGAATGTATAATATGAACTTCTGTGCATTTATATCGAAATGTCCTGGAACTGCATGGTTAATCAAATAATCGAAACCTATCGAGAATGCGTGCCTATTTTTAAAATTTTTAATTATCATTCGAAAGTGCATTTTATATATAGCCGATTCAACCTATATATAAGACAATGTTGCTGTTAATTAATCATTACTATGTTTATCAATTTTCAAGTGATTATTCAGAAATGGAAATAAACTACATATCTTAAATTTTAATCCAATTTATGAAAGACGACATTATGTATGACAAATAATCAAATTTATGTGAATGTATATGAACTTCTGTGCATTTATATCAAAATGTCCTGGAACTGCATGGTTAATCAAATAATCGAAACCTATCGAGAATGCGTGCCTATTTTTAAAATTTTTAATTATCATTTGGAAGTGCATCTTATATATAGCCGATTCAACCTATATATAAGACAATGTTGCTGTTAATTTATCATTACTATGTTTATCAATCTTCAAGTGATTATTCAGAAATGGAAATAAACTACATATCTTAAATTTTGATCCAATTTATGAAAGACGACATTATGTATGACAAATAATCAAATTTATGTGAATGTATATGAACTTCTGTGCATTTATATCGAAATGTCCTGGAACTGCATGGTTAATCAAATAATCGAAACCTATCGAGAATGCGTGCCTATTTTTAAAATTTTTAATTATCAAGCGGAAGTGCATCTTATATATAGCCGATTCAACCTATATATAAGACAATGTTGCTGTTAATTAATCATTACTATGTTTATCAATTTTCAAGTGATTATTCAGAAATGGAAATAAACTACATATTTTAAATTTTGATCAAATGTATGAAAGACGACAATATGAATGACTTAAATAATCAGATTTATGTGAATGTATATGAACCACTGTGTATTTATATCGAAATGTCCTGGAACTGCATGGTTAATCGAATAATCGAAACCTATCGAGAATGCGCGATTATTTTTTAAATTTTTGATTACCATTCAGAAGTTCATCTTATATATGGCCAATTTAACCTATATATAAGATAATCTTGCTGTTAACAAATCATTACTATGTTTGTCAATCTGTAAGTGATCATTCAGAAATGGAAAAAAAAAACAACATATCTCGAAATTTGATCCAATTAATGCAAGTCGACGTTATATATGATTCAAGTAATCAGATTTATGTGAATGTATATGATTTTCTGTGTATTTATATCAAAATGTCCTGGAACTGCATGGTTAATCAAATATTCCAAATGTAATGAAAATGCGTGAATATTTTTAAAACTTTCGATTACCATTCGAGAGTACATCCTATATATGGCCGATTCAACCTATATATAAAGCAATGTTGCTGTTAATAAATCATTACTATGTTTCTCAATTTTCAAGTTACCATTCAAAAATGGAAATAGACAACATATATCTCGAATTTTAATCCAATTCATGAAAGACGACATTATATATGATTCAAATAATCAGATTTATGTGAATGTATATGATCTGTTGTGTATTTATATTGAAATGTCCTGGAACTGCACGGTTAATCAAAAAATTGAAATTTAATGAGAATGCGTGAATGTTTTTGAAAATTTCGATTACCCTTTGAAATTGCATCTTATATATGACCGATTTAACCTATATATAAGACGAATAAAAAATGTCCCGGAACTGACCGTTGGATATATATATATATATATATATATATATATATATATATATTGTTATGATTTACACTGACACTTCATAACCTCACAAGTTACAAAATTTTTTTATAAACTTATCTTACCTCGGCTAGCTGCTTAATATAATTTTTTTTACAGAGCAGATTCTCTTTGTCCCAGTGGTGTCGGTTCCAGAAATAAAATACTTTATAAACTTAATTTATTTAGTTTATTTAATTATTTAATTTATTTTACTTAGTTTATTTGGTTTATTTAGTTTATTTAGTTTATTTAGTTTATTTAGTTTATTTAGTTTATTTAGTTTATTTAGTTTATTTAGTTTATTTAGTTTATTTAGTTTATTTAGTTTATTTAGTTTATTTAGTTTATTTAGTTTATTTAGTTTATTTAGTTTATTTAGTTTATTTAGTTTATTTAGTTTATTTAGTTTATTTAGTTTATTTAGTTTATTTAGTTTATTTAGTTTATTTAGTTTATTTAGTTTATTTAGTTTATTTAGTTTATTTAGTTTATTTAGTTTATTTAGTTTATTTAGTTTATTTAGTTTATTTAGTTTATTTAGTTTATTTAGTTTATTTAGTTTATTTAGTTTATTTAGTTTATTTAGTTTATTTAGTTTATTTAGTTTATTTAGTTTATTTAGTTTATTTAGTTTATTTAGTTTATTTAGTTTATTTAGTTTATTTAGTTTATTTAGTTTATTTAGTTTATTTAGTTTATTTAGTTTATTTAGTTTATTTAGTTTATTTAGTTTATTTAGTTTATTTAGTTTATTTAGTTTATTTAGTTTATTTAGTTTATTTAGTTTATTTAGTTTATTTAGTTTATTTAGTTTATTTAGTTTATTTAGTTTATTTAGTTTATTTAGTTTATTTAGTTTATTTAGTTTATTTAGTTTATTTAGTTTATTTAGTTTATTTAGTTTATTTAGTTTATTTAGTTTATTTAGTTTATTTAGTTTATTTAGTTTATTTAGTTTATTTAGTTTATTTAGTTTATTTAGTTTATTTAGTTTATTTAGTTTATTTAGTTTATTTAGTTTATTTAGTTTATTTAGTTTATTTAGTTTATTTAGTTTATTTAGTTTATTTAGTTTATTTAGTTTATTTAGTTTATTTAGTTTATTTAGTTTATTTAGTTTATTTAGTTTATTTAGTTTATTTAGTTTATTTATTTAGATAACCCTAGATAAATTTGATACCTGTATGTTTTTATACTGAGCAATTAAAATTTTAAATAAACAAACTCTTACAAAGTTTAATTATTTAATTTTTACAAACAAATAATATGGGCACATTGAATAAATGTCCGGTATCTCAATACCTGGACTATATAAAAATAATTATCATCTACCCTACTACACCTAGCTCAATTCTTCTCCAAAATATATTATATGAACCAAAAATCACCAATTATTATTATTTAATCTGAATATACTTTGGTGACTTATAATAAATGACTAAAAACTAACTATAATTATAATGACAACCTTAATTTCTAAAACACAACTAGTTATGAATGTTTATTCATAACGAATGTTCAATCGTTAACAAAAAAAAATAAACTGTTTATAAATACCGTGTTCTCTGTCTGGGGGTATCACTATTCTGTCCTATCCACTTGTCTCCGATCACCTTCTGTTTCTTCTATCATACATTTTATTACCTTTTTATATTTTACATTCAATAGTTTGTTTATTTAATTTCTTTGTATATATCTTTTTAATTTACAACTCTATTTTAACCTTTTCATACTTTTCATTTTTAAAATTCCAAAATTGACAACCTTTTCCCAAAAATCCCAATCTTTCAAATTGACTTTTCTCCACCACCTTTTTTTTTTTTTAAACTTAGTCTTCTTCACTTAAGACTTTATACATTATTTTGTTATACAGGGTTATCAAAAATTGTTTACATTATTTTTATTTATTACTATAATATTATTATTATTATTATTATTATTATATTATTATTATTATTATTAGTTTGATTATTATTTTATAACACAGGGTGTTTGATAACATAACAATATATATATATATATATATGCTATATATTATATATAACAATTTGTTATAGACAAATGCAATTTTAGGCAATATTTTTTTTTAAATACTAAAAAATATTATAAAAACAACCATATATATTTTTTTATTGAAAAATTTTTTTTATTATTTTTTATTTAACTTTTAAAAATATTGTACTAAATAATTTTTTAATGCCTTTGATTGACAGATTTGTTCAAAAAATTAAGTGACCTCAACTTACAATTACAAGGGCACAGCCTCAATTTAATAAAAACAAAGAGTGGAATTTCAGCTTTTCTTGGTAAATTGAAATTTATGAAGGAAAACATTGGTCAGCGCGAATTTTCACAGTTTTCAAATTCGTCGCAGGTAGAATGCCTTGATGAAGATATTCAGACATACGTTCAACATTTTATTGCCCTGCATGATAATTTTAAATTCAGATTTGAAGATATTCGGTCGATGGAAATACCACCTTGGATCATAAATCCATTTGATAAAACGGAAGTGGAGAATGTGATATTACAAGAGGAGCTACTTGAGCTTAGCACTAATGAGGAGCTAAAAGTGACATTTAAAAGAGGGTATCAAAAATTTTGGCTGCGGGCAGAAATACCCGAAAAATATCCTGGACTGTGGGGAATTGTGCAAAAACTTCTGATAGCGTTTCCCTCGTCATATCTCGTCGAAAAACGTTTTAGTTTTGTTACAAACTTATTAACAAAAAAAAGGAGCAAATTGAATATCACAAAAAGGGGAGATTTACGGTTATTCCTTACAAAACTCAAGTCAAATATTGATAATTTGCTGTCAATCCATCAAGTACATCCCTCTCATTAAAATTATATTTTTTGTAATTACCAATGTAGAAATTACATTACGTTGTAAGTTTTTAATTTTAATTATATTACGACGGTTATAACAATAATAATTAATAGTGTAATAATTTATATATTTAAATTTAAATACATACCTACAACACAAGGAAATATACTATATTTCTTTTTATCACTCCGAATGGGACGTTTTCTAAATAAAATTTGTGAGAATTGATTGGTTCTTGAGCTGTGAGTCACTGTAGATTTCAAAAAAATAAAGTTCGATGGAGTCACTTTTTCGTTTGGCCAACTTTGCTTTTTTACATCCACTCGCCGCATAATCAATTAAAATTTAATTGAAAATTTGTTTAGTCCCTTTATTATCAAATAATTAACCCTATCAAGCAATCAATTATAACCTTTTTTTTTTTTTTTTTTCGAAAACTGTTAATTCGTCGTTAAATCTCAGCCACAACGCAAGTTTCCATAGATCTAATCTTTACTTTGTTTTTCGAGATTTAGAAATTGGTGTTCAGCAAAATTTTGAAAGTGGTCTATGAAACAAAAGAGTTTGGGAACCTCTGATCTATTGCATACATTTTTGTAATCGTCTCTTATTGGGGTATTCATAAATGAATAGAAAAATATGTTGTTCTTGATGAGATCATATACACAAAAGTGATTAGTACATCCAATTATAGCATAAGACGCTCAGTTGAAAATAAAAATTTACCTGTGAAAGCATTTTGTTGAAATACCTACTGTAAGGCAGAAACATATTGAATTTCTTCCAACCTATACGATCTCACTGTATTTTATAAAAAAATATTTTATTAAAAAAAATGTTTTCTTTCACTCTTTATTTAAATCAATGACAAATCAAAGCATACATTGGCAAACGTGCAGAATTCATACGCCGTATATAAAACAATCTATATAAAACCTCTCGATTATTGTTATTTATTAGACATAATTTTCACGCCAATAAAACTAATCAAAGGAAAATTTTTGCGTGACTTTTCAATAATTGACGTACGCCAATGTAAGTACTGGTGTTATGCGAAACACGTGTCCCGAGAACATGTATAACTATAAGGATCCTTATCAATTATTGCATGTACAGCGGTTGCACGGTTTGTAATTTAAACGCGTAAGCATTTTTAAAAGAATCGAAATTAAGGATGATTAATATTCCTCGCAATCAAAATAACCGCTTATCCAGACCATGCGGAAGTCATAAGAACAATCAAGATTTGTTTACAGTAAATTACTGGGAAGGTTTTTTTTTTTAGTTAACGCGTTTAGATTTATGATGCAAACTCTTCGTTCAATAATACCATCTTTAAGTCAATTAACCCACCACTGCCGCAAGCGTGGGTAATGAAGTAACTCCGGAAGGGCTGGAGTACACTCAGACACGACTTTACGTCCTTCTTTTCTCATGATGACAGTTGTTGAATCAAAAATTCATGCAAAACGTCAAACAATAAAGGTCTTTCCACATTAGCCGGGCAAGGAACGATCAAGTCACGGTCCGGTCACGATCAAATCTTTTCGTATATGAGTGGATTTTTCAAAGCATTTTTGCTTGTGACATTGCGATCCGCGATCTTAAAAAATGTTTTCAACTTCATTAATTAAAATCGCACTTATTTTGGATACGGAAAAAGAACAACAAAAAAATATAAAAAATAAAAGAAAAACAAGATTTTGGGTACATCTAATGCTAAAAAAAAAGAAAATCGAAGGCGATTTTTTTACGGTGCATGAAAAACTTATGGATGATGAAACAAAATTGTTTGTTTATTATAAAATGAAAATTGAAAAATTTCAGAACATATTTTTGACAATTAAAAAAATGGTACCACATTTTTGGGAATCAATTTCCCCAACTCAAAAACTTTCAGTGTGTTTAAGATCGTTTTCAGATGAAATTTTTTACAACAGCCATTTTAAAGAAAATCTAAACATATACAGTAATTACTCCGTCCTTTTCGATACTACGACAGCCCGCTTTTTTAGCTGACTGGTTGGACGTTGAGCATCCATACTAGACGGTGTGCGCGTCAACGGACAGTCACGGTCCGGTCAAATATTGTTGGAAATGATCGGCCCGTGACTTGACTGTGGCTTGCTTGTTCAATGACCGACATATGTGAACGGTTTAAAAGAAATCTCATTTAAAAACATTAAAATTATGACAAAACATTTTTGATCGGACCGTGACTTGATCGTGGCTTGACCGATAGTGAGAATAGACCTTAAGTGGTCATGGAGAAAAGGTATTTAATAATATTGCTGTTCAGTTTCTTTTTAAACCCAGCGTGACTGTAAAAGTCAAACATCGCCCATTCGGTATAGTAATACTCATATATATTTCAAATTTTAACGAATCAAATATTATATTAGATTTAAAAGGAGTTGGACATTATTTTTCGTCCTTGTCTACCGCGACCATTTCAAGTCTATTACAGGACTCCGTTATTAAGAATGTGTGGTCTAACTTGATCTTTTTTATTAGACTTAGTACCTTTGAAAGTTGCTCCCGCATGTAGATACATGCTTCTTGCTTTTTTACCTAGTATTAGAAACCTCAATCTAGCCAGATCTTCACGCTGGGACAGGATGTGGATGTTTCTCCCTCTTATTCACAGAACCGGCACAATTGTGTTGCTTCTTCTGATGGCACGTGTGTGCCTTCTTAGGCTACAGTGCCCGATAAAAAGGCCTATTGTTCTTAAATTAACTTTTTGGCCAGTCTTAATCGTGTATAGTTGTTCTACCATTCCCAAGATTTTTTTTCCATCCATTGTTTGATGGTTGTCTTGCACAATGCCTAAGCAATTCCACATAAGGGTTCGGAGCCTTCATGGCCTCGTCGGGCGTTTCGTTGCCCTGATATCGTTCGTGGCCTGGTACCCAGGCTAATGTCACTTTGTTTTGACTACTTAGCTCTGTCCGATCTTCTAGGTGGTCTTTCGCCAGTCGGGATTTAATTTCTGGTGAGATAATTTCCTTTAAAACTGCTTGAGAGTAGAATGAGGGGCGCATATATGGGAGGGGTAATGGGGGTAATTACCCCCCCCCCCAAGAATGTTTAATCCTAACTTTTTATAGATACTAAAAATGTATTGCACAAACTATTGAAAGACCAATTGCAGTAATTTTGTTCAATCTGACAGAAGTGTTTTTTTACTTCCGTCGGCTGTCCGCCACTCAAAGCGCCTAACTTAGGTTCCCACTCTACGTTGTACGTGCTTGTATCTCAGAATATCACCCTTTCTTCGACTAATATTGCTTATATAATTTTGTTTTTATTTTGATTTCTACTGGAAGTACTGGATACTGGATCATCAAAGTGATAGAGTGATACTAAAGTGATACACTGTGTTCATGTAAGGGTTTTACTTTACAGGTATTTTTATGAAGTTTAGTAATTTAGATTTAAGTTTATGTGATTACAATATCTAAAATTTTCCATTGTTGCAAATTATTTTTGTTCTTGCACTTGCAGATACTAAACACAACAGAAATTAGCAATGAGTAAGAGAAAACAGAATACCTTAGAAAATTATTTGTTAAAACCAAAACAAAATAGGGGAATTTATCACCAGTCGGGGAATCCTCTGAGGAAGCGGGTTCGAGTTCGAGTATGGGTAGATAAACCGCTGAACCTAGCGCCGATAGCAGCAGTGACCACAGCGTTGCCATATTTAATATTTTACATGGTTATAAAAAATCGACAGACATTGCCCCTTCTAAAATAATTACATTGCGGGCAAAATATTCGGTTTTAATGTACTCTATGGTTCCGGATAAAAATTTTACATACCTGTTTTCAATTCACAGAAAATATGATAAAGATATTAAATGCTTTTTATCAAAACGACATTTTGACACTTTTTCTTGGCTAACATATTCGCAAGGTCTAGAGGGGTATATTTTGTAAATTTTGCGTTTTCAAAAGTGGGTGGTGCACATCAGTCAACTAAGTTGGGACGTCTTGTTACCACTCCACTAAATAAGTATTCTAAACTATTCGGAAAAGATGGCGATTTGATAATGCATGATAAATCGGTCTATCATAGTAAAGCTGTTACAGAGCGACATAATTTAATTAAAATTTATGAAACCCCAGAGATAGATGTAAGAAGTACATTAGATCAAGAAAGACAAAGGCAGATTTTAGAAAATAAACTTAGATTGAAACCCATTATCGAGTCAGTAATCTTTTTGGGACGACAAAATATTCTTTTTAGAGGCCATAGAAATCGAGGATCTCTTATCGTTTCCAAAGGTTCTTCTGAAGATGAGGATAGTCTTGTAAATAATGAAGGTAACTTTCGTGAATTAATTAAATTTAGAATAGAGAGTGGCGATATTGTATTAAAAAAACATTTAGAAAACACTTCATCTCGTGCAATCTATGTTAGTAGTTATACTCAAAATGAAATAATTGAATTGTGTGGTTAGGAGATTTTAGAAACCATTTTACAAAGAGAAAATAAAAGTCAATTTTATCGTGTAATATTTGACGAAACCACGGACATAAGTCATAAGTCACAAATGTCAATAATCTTAAGATACTGTTACGAAAATTGTCTGTACGAAGATTTCGTAGGTTTTATTGATTGTCACGCAATGTTTGATGAGGACACATTAGAACCAACAGTTAGTGGTAAAATTTTGGCCCAAATCTTATTTAATTTTATTAAAAAAATTATTTAAATCCCGATAAGTGTATAGGAATTGGAACTGATACTTGCAACTTAATGCTTGGTGAACAAAAAGGAGCCGTTACTGAATTAAAAAAAAAAACACTAATGGACTTAAGGTGATTACAGCACCCCCTTATAATTTTCGGACAAGGATATCTTAAAAAGTAATTTTTTTAGAAAATTTAAATTTGGGCAAAATAAATTAGACAATAATATCTAAAATAAGCATTTTTTTTAAAGTTTAATTCCTTTCAGTTTCCGAGAAAAAAAATCAAAGGACTTTAAATTTTGAAAT